GAGCTATACTGTTGAAAAAGTATAAACTTCACAGAACTTAAAAACTATTGAAATCACACTCTAATAGTAAAGTTCCATAAATTTGAAAGTATTTATACTACAAACTATACCGACTGCTGTCTTAACAGCCTTACATTATTCTGCATCTCTTTGTGTGGGTATGGTTAATTTTATACATCTAAAGAATAACACTTATTAAAAGAACCTAAATTTTTACATTTTTAAAGCTAAGAATCGTATATTTGTATATGTGTGTCTGTGTTGTTCTATAATGGTAAAAACGACTCATATAGAAACAAAAATTCATTACAATATGCTATGTAAGTATATAGTGTGCACCCTACATAGCTCCTTGAATCCAAAAAGTAGTCAAAATATCAACTCAAAATTTAAAAAAAACACATCTAGTGAAAATAATTTTTCAATCTCTGTTTTTATATTTCCCTGCCACACAGCCACTGAAACTTTCTGCAAAGTGATAATAGCCTTAATTAAAACCAAATAGAGGCTGGGCTCGGTGGCTCAGCCTGTAATCCCAGCACTTTGTGAGGCCGAGGCAAGTGGATTGCCTGAGCCTGTGAGTTCAAGACCAACCCAGGCAACGTGGTGAGACCTCGTCTCTACAATAAGTAAAAAAAACTTAGCCAGGTGTGGTAGTGCATGTCCGTAGTTCCAGCTACTTGAAAGGCTGAGGCAGAAGGATCTCCAGAGTCCAGTAGATTGACACAGGGGTGGCCATGAGCATGCCACTGCACTCCAGCCTGGGCCACGGAGTGAGACTCCAACTCAAAAAAAGAAAAAGAAGGCCAAAAAGACATAGATCACTGAAATATATTGGCTAAGTTAAAGATGAGAAACTAGCTGATTTTTAAGTATGCAAAGCCTTGGTTCATTTCACAAAAGGTGAATAGCAATGTTGTTTCAGTATTGTGCAATGAAACCTGCTTGTAATATTTTTTCTGCGTTTAAAATTCTAACTAGGAGCCAAAGTTTGTCATTAAAATCCCATACTTGAACAAGTTCAGGCAAAATGTTTCTAATTATAACTTGCTCTGCTTTCTTTTTAATCTAGTAGGTTTCCTTTATAAGGGACAGGATAAGCTATGGATATTCAGACACAGGGCATAAACATACCTAGGGTGACCATATTTCAAGGCATCAAATGTTTATTTTATGTAATTGTTAAAATTTAGATTTTGGAATCAGTCACCTGGATTTGACTCATTAGGTCTGCAAGTGATTAGCTGTATGACTTGGACCTCTGTTTTCCTCTCTATAACATGGCAGTGTGGAAAGCATCTATCCCACATATTTATTGTGGAGATTTAAAAAATAATAATGCATGAAAAGCATCCAGCATTGTGCCTGACTCTTAGATAGTACTCAGCAAATATCCACTATTATTATTGTTTTCGTGGGTCTCCTATGTGCCAGACACATCACCAGACTCCTCGCATAATATAATTACAGGGTCACAGAAGGCCTACAGACTAAGTATTCTTTTCTCTGTTTTAGAATTTAAAAGACTGAAGCATAGAGAAGAGGTCAAAAACTCTCTGGTGAGACACTGGACAATGATTGAAACCCAGCTGTCTCTCCCTCCATGCTCTTTTCTCCATGTATGTCCTTGTCTAATACAGTACTAGACACATGTGACCACTTGCATTTTAATTTTAAATTAATTGAAGTTAATTAAAGCAAATAGTTTAGTTCTTCTGTTCCAGTAGCCAGATGTCAAGTCTCAATAACCATATGTTGCTGGCCACTATGGAATTGGACTGTGCAGATATAGAATACTTCCACCATTGCAGAGAAATTGTTGGACAATCTATGCCATACTATTATCTCCCTAGGCTGGTGAATCACAGTAGGAAATAATACAACTTTCTAAAACTCATAATAAATGATCATTAATAAATTACTTAAACCTCTGTGGTGAAGACAACACATTTACTATAGACAGCCATGTAAGCCACAGTTAATTCTATCCAACAGTCTGCATAGGAATAGAAAACATCTCTTTGAACAGATCAAGTGCCAGAAAACTGGAAAATGCCTCAGCTGCAGTTTAGGCAATCTTTTTGTCCATTGATAAGAAATATGGATGATGGGAAATCCTAAAGTCAATATGAAAATGCCAGAGGAATCGCTAACATCCCTTCCACCTCTGATACTCTGTGAGTCCCTGATTTCCAATAAAACGCAAAGCCGTTTTCTGTATTTCTTTTAGTTTTCTGATAATGGTCCACCTAGGTGTAAGCTTTGGAAAGAAATGATGGTGATTTGTTATTTATGCCCTTAACATTGATATTTTACCCAGAAATTCTTCCTCTAACTAGAAATCAGATGATCTTTCTTGTTAGGCAGCCAATATGCAATATTTGTGATATCTACCATCCTCTTGTTGTAGACTGTTTTGATTGGTATCAGATATTGCAATGCGGGGCCTTTCAATGCAATGAGCAAATGAGAGTGGCAAAAAGCCAGATAATCCATATTCAAAACAAAACCATATCAATTGTCTCTTTGAGAAGAGGTTCTTTCATATAAAACCAACCCTGTTTGATTTTAGAAGAAACGGTAAAGGCATGAGGAACAGACCTGGGGAACTTCATGCATGTAAAAGAGCATGTGGGTATCATAGAAAGAACATTTGGTAAGTGATCAGAAGATCTGACAACCTTCCTGGTTTCCCGATCATATCTCAACCATAGAATTTAGCATATTGTGTTTTAACTGCCAGCTCCCATATCCAATTCTCCCATAAACTTTGAACTCCTTAAAAGCTATTGCCTATCTCGGTTCCTTAGGACAAGGTAAAATATTAGGCTCATTGAAAAGACAATATGGACTTTGCAGCAACTTGGATGTATTTACAGTCTATAAACTCAGTGATGTATCATAGAAACAAAGAAGAGAATACTATATGTTCTCACTCATAAGCGGACTCTGAACATTTACCCTCATACTATAAGAAAGGGATTGGCAGTAGTGGGAGACTGCCAGGGTCAGGGTGGAGACACAACATTAATAAGGCTACCTGATCTCAAACCAATGGGGATCAAAGGGAGGCCCAAACTTTACCTGTATGACATTCACTTGTGTACCTAATTCTGAATTGTACTCCACATCTCTATAATAAAGCATAAAAAAGAAAAAATAATAATAAATAAACAGAAAAAGAAAAGACAAACTAACAAATAATTTTGAGGTAGCTAATATAATCAAGGAATACCAAGAAGCTATATAAAAACCACCCTCCTTCTCTCCCCTAAAATTTATAATTATTACCCTGAAACCTTCACACCTCATTGCCTATTATTGCTCTAACCAACTTGCTCTGGTCTAATACAACATGGCTCATGTGCTTACCTGTTTAATCTTTGCCAAGGTGACTGGGTTAATATTTAAATTCTAAGGTTTTCTCAGATGTCAGAGGCATTTGAGAAGCAATGTCTTTAAAAATTTACATTAAAAAAAAGAAGAAGGAAAGGCTATATTCTTTTAGTTCTGGTTAGTCTCACAGAAAGGAATTAGTTAAAATGAGAAATTAGAAACTATTGACTGGCTATCAACTCAACCTCCTGAGAAGACACGGTTAGTCACTTACGCCTGTGGAATGTGTTCAGTACTAAAAAATATTAGCATAGACTAAAGTAATTAACACAGTCACTAAGGAGGCCTAATTTATAGTTTGCAATTTAAATCCCGGAAATTCTGGCTCATTTATGCAAGTCATTATGCTTAATAACCCAGAAACTTGGCTGCTATAATCACTTATAACCCATTAGGTCTTCCGGCATACACCTCCTGGCCTCTATAGATGTCCTCACGCTCCTAGCTGCTAGAAGATCAAGAGGTGGCTTTCTACACCTGCACGTATCTTTTCACTACTAAAGCCACTATGTAACACCTAAAACAAAAATTCCAACTTCCCAATGTAATACTATAAGAAAATGACTGACGGTACTGGGAAACTATGGGGGGGGGGAATGGGATTGACAGTAGCAAACATCTGTCTGGGGATGGGGAAACACCTCTTATCAACAGGGTGCCTGAATGAAACGTAACTGTACACCTAACTGTACACCCTAACTGTACCCCACAAAACCATAATAAACAATATTGATTATGAAAAAAAAAATTCCAACTTCTGCAGGAACAGCTATGCTGACATCAAAGAGGGAATGATTTCCAGTCCACAATGACGGCAAGAGACACTGACCCTTTCTTCTTTCTTCAACTGAGGCTTTGATTTTGTTTCCTTAAAATGACATATTCCCCATTAGAAAAGAGAAACATCACTCACAATGATATTGAACTTGCAAGTTCTCACTGTCATGCGTTAGGATGGTCTGCCTTTCTAAGGCAGTTTCTTTCCCGAATAAGGAAGAAATCAAACGGATTTGCTAGAGTTAGACCTTTCCTGAATATTGTTGGTAATATCTGAGTTATTTCCTTTGGCAAATTTACATTTCCTCTGTGTTCCACTTCCTTTAAGAGATCCTGGTTTACAAGCCAACTTTTTTTTTTTTCCATTTGTCTTTCTTCTTGCTTTCTCAAGTAAACATTTGTATGAGCTTTTAACCATCAGGAATGAGAGCACTAAGAGAAGGCATTTGGTCTTACTTTCTGTGGCACTGCCACCAAAGGGTCTATGCAAAGAGTCTATCTCATCTTTTCTTGCTGACTGCAGACAATGACTTGATCTCAGAAATAGCTTCCTATTGGGTGAACTAGACAAGAAAGAGTTGTACCTCCCATGGCAAACCCTCCACCTCCCGAACAACTGTAAAGGTCCAGAACCATCCATCAACTAAAAAGCAGTCCCTCAACAGTGGTATATTGAATACCTGTTGCAGGCCAGACACAGCTGTAGGCAAGAAGCTTATAATAGGCTTACACGGCTCCGAGGAAGAAGGAACAGCTAACCCCGGGCATTTCTTATAGGGCTAGCATTTAGCAAACTCCATGATAAATCCTTCTCCGAGGTTATTGTCATGTGTAAAAACAATGTAATCCCATCGGATTTTTCCTTTTCTCATTTCACAGACTATCAGTACTGGGGCTCAGAGCTCCAGCTACCTACTCTGGATTTTGAAGATGTTTTAAAAACTGATGAACATGCCTACAAATGGCTGTCTAGCCTCAAGAGAATAGGTATAGTACGACTCACAGGAGCTGCTGACAAACGAGGAGAAGTTTTAAAGCTTGGGAAAAGGATTGGCTTCCTCTATCTCACATTTTATGGGTGAGTCACCAGATGGTTTGTATTCTTCCATGACAAAGTTTGACTTATTTTCCAATGGCGGGGGGGTGTTGAAAACAACATTGATTGAAGATAGGAAAATGTTCATGATGTCTCCAGAAGAAAATCAGATGGAAAGAGGAGTCTAAAAGAAGTAGTATTTCTTTGAGAATAGCTACAATTTTTTAAGGAGCCTAAAAGCCCAAAGACATCACACCTCAAAGATATCAGGCAACTTACAGGTGATATATTAGTCTGCTTGGACTGCTATCACAAAATATCACAGACTGGATAAGGTCAACAATAAAAATTTAGTTTTTTTCCATTCTGGAAGCTGGAATTCCAAGGTCAAGGTGCCAGGAGGGATTGGTTTCTGGTGAGGGAAACAATTCAGTCCATAATGGGTGGGAGGAAGGACTGTATTTCTCCAAGACTCCAAAATACTCAACTTTATAAATGGTAAGGTTTACTAAATTTTTACCTCCCAAGAGTTGGCACAAAATAAAGTTGGACATTGGGAAACTGAAATCAGCCACTAGACATGTTAAAAAGATAAAACTAACACTCAGAAAATTAAGCCTATGTGCTTTATTAAGTAACAGGAGCTATAATTTATTTTAACTTTGGAACAAGAGGTTGCTTGTGTAAGAATTTCCTGGGAGGTAATGTTAATTATGGATAGTGAAACGCTAGCAACAGGAAACACTTATCTGGAAGTGGAGGTATAATTGTATTTTTTTAAGACCAACCCTCATATGAGATGAATACAACTATTCTTGGGCTCATAGAGCAGAAAGCATCGAAAGTGAAAGTTGCAACTGATAGCACACAGGCTGTATTCAGATGTTTGGTTTAGCCCACATGACCTTGAAATAAAATGGAATTAGTTGTCAACAATTAGGAGAGACCTCATCTCTACAATAAATCACCAAAACTTGCTGGGCATGGTGGCATGCCTCTGTAATTCCGGCCACTTGGAAGACGGAGGCGGAAGAATCTCCTAAGCCCAGCAGGTCAAGACTGCGGTGGCCGTGAGCGTGCCACGGCACACCAGCCTGGGTGACAAGAGTGAGACTCCAATTCAAAAGAAAAGGAGAGATTTTGCATTAAATGTGGTCCTGACTTTGCTTGAAAATCAAATCTAACAACAAATGAGCCTAAATTCTTGCATCTGCTGGATGTTAGTGGAGGCTATCCTTGAAGAAGGCATTGGCTCACTCTCCAGTTTGCTAAAGTCCTCCATCTTCCCCAGATCTGCAAGCGTCCTGCTAGCCCTTGGCTTTACCACCCTTAATCCTCACGGTAGACGACTGCACCATGTTTAGATTTGGACAACCCTGGCCCTATCCGAAACCACAAATTTACTTTTACCATTAGCAATTTATATTTCCTGTACACCTGCAAGAATTTGAGCTGCCTTAGAGATTACAACAACAGCAACCGACAAAGAAAAGAGTGGGGAAAAAAAACTTGAAATCCGTAAGAGTCTCAACTGTATTCTGTATTATTTATTTAATTCTTACCACTGCTCTCTGACATAGATATTATCCTCTGATTCATTGATAAGGAAATTGAAGCTCAGAAAATTATTTGCAACCCAGGTGACACTGGAGTTAAACAGAACACTTCCAAATAAATCTCTTCTAAGTAGTTTTACTTAGTTTTTATTTGTTGACCACATGCTTTTTGTATCTCTTCCAAAGCATTTCCCAATTTTATAGCAGTGGCCAAATCTGGGGCTCTTTGTGAGAGTTTCCCAACCCTCCCCCGCCATCACACTGAGGGTCAGAATCTTAGTCTTGATTTATGATTCGTGTTCTATTTTGTTTTTACAGGTCCTATAAAAGGGCTTATTACTTTGGCCACTGGTCTGATATTGTGAAATTATTGGAATAAATACTAAAGTTCTGTTGTCAAAACAAATCAGACCTCCCGCTGCTATTTCATGTCCTCTATGGACTGTCCCATCCACCAGACAAGTTGCATCTACTCCATCCCACCTTCCTTGGATAATCACGTTTCTTACCTGCATCTCTCAAGTTATACAAACCCAAAGAAATGCCTTTTCTTGCCGCCTTACTCTTTACTTCCACCACTGATAATCAAGATTTCTCCATATTTTTTTTTTGGCAATTTTTAATTCCCTATCCCAATAACTAACAAGAGAGAACAGTTTTGTTTGGCAGTTATTGCTGTTTTAATTGCTTTTTTTTTATCTTGCGGTATTATTTTTGTTGTTAAGAGAATAAGAAAAGTGAACAATTTCTCTAAAGATATCCCCCTTTTCTGCTCCTCTCCATAGTAATGTGTGAAAGTGATACTGAAGTCTGGGTTAACATGAGATTTAAAAGAAGAAGGAATACTTAGAGCAGTGGTTCTCAACCTAGGTTGCAAGCTGGATAAACCAATTTTTAAAAAATACTGACAACTGTATCCCATCTCCAGAGATATTTTTTTTCTAACAGGACTGGTATTTGGCCTGAATATCAGGACATTTCAAAACTCTGCAGGTAATTCTCATGGGCAGCCAGTTGAATACCGCTGGCTGAGAGGAAGGGGGACTTCAAGAGAAGGCGAGTCTTCGTTGGGATAGAACTTGAGTGCTTTACATCATCTGAACTCTCTTTCTCTTATTCTGGTAGTGCCTGGACATGACTTATCATCATAAGAGAATCAGCAGCTGCCTTAAACAAGGTCCCTCTCTTTCCTATCTTTATTTCTCCACTGAAAAAGTATCTTACTCTTGTTTGAAAAAGTAATTGGTTGGCGAGTGGGTGAATGGAATGAATGAATGAAGGCAATAAATAATGGAGAAGAGGGACTGAGAAAAATAGGAGAGGGATAGAGAAAGGAAAGTAGGGACAAGAGAAAGGAAATTGGGGCCAAGAAAAAGGTAAGCTTTGTTTTCCGTGCAGTTTTCTCAAGGAAGCTTGGAACATTCTTGCTTGGATAACACAAATAATGACTTGGTGGTGCCACTTTAAACCTGCCTCCCCTGGGAAATGAATACCCACCAGGCATGTTTCCATTCAAGTAGAGTTATTAGTTTGAAGAATATTAAATATGTGGGCTAACATGAAAATGAGAATAGCTATTTAGGGGTTCATGGCTGCCATCTCAATTGTTAAGTGGTTGGTTGGATGAACAAAAAACGGATTCCAGCATTTCATGTAGTATGTGGTAGACCAGAAATCAGTGTTTAATAAATAAATGCATGCCTAGATGTTTTTAAAGAATGATAAACCAGCAGATGAATGCAATGATTATTAGAGTATTGTATAATTATTAACCTATGTTCAGCTCAATCACAATGGTCATAGCCTTCAGGATGGAAGCACAGGTCATTGTCCACATCAATATTTTCTCAGATGCTTGTCTTGATTTTGTCAGCACATCATCTTGACAATTGTTTTACACAACCATGTGAGATGCTCAGTAACTGCACTGCTTTAATAATGATGAATACTTTCCTGGAAGAAAAGGATAAGAACAGGTAAAGAAGCTCCCATTGTTAGTTTTGTCAGGTATATATATGTATGGAGCAGTAGGTAAAAAGATAAAGTTTTGAACCAACCATGCTGCCCATCAAAAATGGACTGGATAAAAAAAAAAATGAGGTACATATACACGATGGAATATTATGCAGCCATAAAGAAGAACAAACATATGAACTTTGCAGCATACTCAGTGATCTATCACAGAAACAAAGAACTGAGTACCATATGTTCTCACTCATAAGTGGACCCTGAACATTTACCATAATACCATAAGGAAGGGATAGGCAGTAGCGGGATACTGCCGGGGTGGGGGTGGGGGCACAACATCAATAAGGGTACCTGATCTCAAACCAGGCAAATTAGGGACCAAAAAGAGGCCTAAACTTTACCTATATGATGCCCACTTGTATACTTAATCCTGAGTTGTACCTCACATCTTTAAAATTAAAGAAATAATAATCATAAAACTGACAACTGAGCAATGAACAGCAAAATAAACAACCCCCCCAAAAAAGAAAGTTTTAGGAGAATTTACACCTTTGATTTCAGGCAATGTAGTTTTAACAGAGTGAAGTCAAAAAGCCTTATCTTATATTCTTTTTCCCCCACCTAAAGAAAAATCCACAAAAATAATAACTTCCTGGAATCCCTTGGAAAAGGCATATTATTGAAGAAACTGAATTTTATGACATGATTGATTGATTGATTGAGTTGGAGTCTCACTCTCGCCCAGACTGGAGTGCAGCGACCGCTCCCGGCCACCGCAGCCTCGACCTGCCGGGCTCCGGCGATCCCTCCACCTCAGCCTTCCGGGTAGCCGGAATTACAGGCGCGCGCTACCACGCCCGGCTGATATTTGATTTATTGTAGAGATGAGGTCTTGCTGCCCAGGCGGGTCTCGAACCCGCGGGCTCAGGCGATCCACTCACCTCAGCCTCCCAAAGGCGCGGGATCACAGGCTGAGCCACCGAGCCCGGCAATGACATGATTTAATCCAATAGGAAGTAGCCAGTGTAAACTAGTTTTATATACTGCCATCTTCAATGATTACACCTAGTTCGAATGTTTTCAACAATGTATCCCACGACGTAAATCCCAAAGACAGTAAAATCTTTGTCAGCCGGGCTCGTGGCTCAGCCTGTAATCCCGCGCTTTGAGAGGCCGAGGTGAGTGGATTGCCTGAGCCCGCGGGTTCATGACCCGCCCGGGCAACTTGGCGAGACCTCATCTCTACAATAAGTCAAAAAATTAGCCGGGCATGGTAGCGGGCACCTGTAGTTCCAGCTACGTGGAAGGCTGAGGCGGAAGGATCGCGGGAGCCCAGCAGGTCG